ATATAACGTGTTACCCATCATGACTAGAATGAAGGACGGTGCCAAGGAGTACAAGTTACCACCCTTTCATAAACAAGAAGACACTCATGAGACACACCTTTTCGCTCGAGTCCAATAGTAGGCATACGCCTCTATAAACCTCTGTGTTTAGACCAACCTTGGAGGTATAAATATAACCTCCATGGATCAAATGACCACTGGATAAGTTACGAGGCTGACCATACTTACATGCATATATTTTCCCCCGGCTTGCTTCCCGGGGGCTGGCCTAAGACATTTACACTCATCAGTAAGCCCACAATAATTAATCCAAGGGGGTGATTAATATCCATGTTGATTTAACAATTCCTGATGTCGAATGTCGATGTACGAAATATCACAAAGGGCTGGAAAAGTATAGCCATGTCATCTCCGGGTGCCACCGCTCTATGCACTCCTGCAGTGCACTGAGCGAGTTACAAATGTTGAAACCGGAAAACAATCCGAATTTCCGATTACAGTATCATTATATGCTGTCAGAGCCCGTGTCAGAGTGCACAAGCACAAAGCCTACGGCGAATATATTATTATACAGTGTTACTTGTCTCTTTAAACAAGAATAAATTACCAGCAATTATCATTGTTGTAGAACTTATCTTTGCGTCAATTGGACGAGGTCGAAATGTTGCTAATATAATCAAGATCACTGAACCATTGTAGGCTTATCTTTATTTTAGGCCGAGTACAATAAAATATGAATCCGATTTATTTCACATTTAATCGTTATTTCATAATCAAAATTCTTTTGCTGAATCAAATTTCACTGAGGCTGAAGAGAGTGGCAACCAATCACGGTGCCCCCAGGTAGCTGGGTGTTAATCATGTTCAGCACTGTTGTTGCAGTAGTTGATTTTTCTTATCAGGAAAAGTCTTCTTGTATTAAAAAAAAAAAAGAAGAAAAAACAAATTTAAATTTTGGCATATGACTATTTTTACATTGGCGAATATACCATGAATATATACTAACTTAAAATATTGCTAAGTTTTGCTGTTTTGCTACATGCTAGCGTTTATAGTTTGGTTTTTGTGAGAAAATCTGAACACATCCTGTAAATCGGAACGATTGCATCACACGTAAGTACAGTATAGTAAACACGCATCACACAAAAGTACTGTAACAAATTGGGTAGGTCACCGACATTTTATACACCATTGCACTTTCCTTGATAATCATGGTTACTTGGAGAGAGTCCTTATAGTTAAAACATGGTTTAAAGTTGCGGCCTTGGCATCATAATAAGTAATTCATTCAATTACACGAGGATCTACTGTACATGGTCATATGTACTGAGATACCATGGGCCAACATAACAATCGTTTTGCCACAGTTTACAGTGGTGGATTAGGGGAGTGGGGTTCAGGAGGTTTAATTTTCAAAAATGGGATAGTATGTAATTGGGTATGCTAAATTAGTTCTAAAATTATAGGCCTATATAATTGGTAAACTCCTTCTTTAAGTCCTAAATAAATATTGTGAGTTCGGTGTGACATGCGCACTGGCCCTCATGCTTTGATTGGCCAGTTGTTAAGTTTGGCACTCCGGAAAGGTTCATTCAATTTAATTTAAAATAAATTAACCAAAAATAAAATGTCACAACCATAATGGCCATGCGCTCGACAATACTGTAGGCAAGAAGGGGAAGGGGAAGAATAAAAAGGGGGAGAATAAAAAGGGGGAAAAAACAATAAACACCAAGCTAGCACCGCAAACCGGAGATCTATGTTATGTTTAGCATCGATTAAAGTCTTGACCTTTTCTTGGAGTAGGTGTCTCCTAACTTTGACCAAACAACATTAGCTAGCGTGGTAAAACAAAGCATTCGAAAAAAGAAAAAAAAAGAAGTAATTATAAAGCGGCAGATAGAAAAGTTTTGAGTCGCTTCTGAAAGATGCAAATTGGCGTAGAATCACGGACTTCAACGGGTAGTGCATTCCACATTTTTGGAGCCGCAAACAAGAAATAATCGCTCACCGTACGTTTTCGAACGGCACCCGGTTGAACCCACAAAATGTACGTGAAAACGCCTACAAAATGTACGGTAATAACAATCACAAATGTAACAACACACCACCCACGAATGTAACAATGCTCACAAATGTAAAAACCAGCGCCCACAATATAATAATGATCATCCCCCATCAACCGTGATATCGCCGACAAACGTAACAACAAAACATGATCTCTTCGCCCACAAATGTGATAACTGTCTTTTAATTTCCAAGGAGCTAAGCAAATTGGGCAAATCGTGCAGTTTGTGACAAAAGCATGACAATTTTAACCACAAAAAACGGACGGAGAGTCATTTTCTAAATATCTGGGAGGGGGTTAAAGGTTCAAGGTTTTAGGAAGGATATATTATGTGTCAGAGGTTATATCTTTTTCCGAAAATATATCTCATTGTAAGAAATATATCATAGAAATGCCCATTACACTGAATAGGGGCTTATAGGTATTAGAAAAAATTGACTTTCTACGACCAGCGGTTGTCAAGATACGGATGCCCTGTATAGGCCCTAATGTTTTCCAACCTA